GCTATATAGCTCTTTCAGAAGCGACCTGACCCACAAATGATAGCTTAACGAAGTGGTTTATCATATGGAAATGTATAGCAGCCAAATACTCTAAAACACACGTATATTAATGTGGAGGAAAAAAACGGAGGACCTGGAGAAAATCCATACGACCACAGGGAGAACATGCAAACTCCAAATATACAGCAGGCATCATGGTCAGAATCAAACCCACGACCCCCTGTATACCTAGCGAGGTAGTTAACATCACGTCACCATAGCATCTCCATTGTTGATACTTGCTGCTGAAGTTAACAGCTATTGAGGACAAACGATGATCGTCCTTGGCAGCCTTTACATAATGGTGCCTACTGTGGTTATGGTCGGCTACTTTGTACGTCTTGGTTTCCATGTAAGATGTGTCTCTGCAAGGATCCCTTTCTGACCAATATCAGTGAGGAAGAGTGGTAGCACATCGGTGTGCAGTGCTTAGCACACAGAGGCACGAACCTGGGTACCTCGGTTTCATATTCCTGGTCACGGTTAGCATCAGTGGCGAGTGTTCTTTGAACTTATCCTGGTTCGTACTCAAGGTTGTAAATGGTTACATCATTAGACCTCCTTTGCCAGTACCAAAATATAATAATAATATGGTTTTCCCCCTTTTTTTCCGGCAACAAAACTGAAACCTTTTTTTTTTACAAGGATTCATGTCTGCATTAACCACAATACCTGCGGTCAAAATGCAAACAAAAAACATACTATGATAATATATGCATTGTCCTTGAAACTGATTGGTCTACACCAAGGGACGGCTTTCTTTTGAGCCTCGACCCAATTGGTGTTCGACCAGATGACGCCAAAAGGCGTACAGCTGTACGCCTTTGTGGATTTTCTTTCCAACACACCGGTGTGCTGTACTAGTCACGAATTGGCATGTTATGTTTACGTGACAAATCTTACTAGTTGGCTGTCGGGTCTTGGCGGTTTCAACGACACATTTATACTTAGACGATCTAACCCAAAAAAAACTATGTGATGGATGATATTGGTCGCGAAAGCCTCCGTGTTAAACAGTCCTGGGTCTCCACCTCCTCCAACCTGTGCTGACCAGCATAGTTGAAGAATGGGAAGAAAACCACCATGGACAGTGATATGTGGGGGAGCTTTCACCCAGTAGTGGATTGGCAAAGGCGTGTATATTGTTGTTATTAATCTATTTTGAACTCAACAAACAAGTCTTATATGTCAGTTTAACACAGGCTTTCGCGACCAATATATATGTACTTTCATTTTAATATATTATGATGTTTAAACTGCAATCTGCCTTCGCTGGCACAGTGGAAATTTATTTTATTTATATATGTAATTAAGAATCCACGATATACTCTTTGGTTCTATTGGGTAAAGTCACGTAGGTGAAAATAAAATAACAAAAAATCACGACGTTTCGGCCACAACACAAGCGGCCTTCATCAGGTGAAGGGACGAGACTGTCTGGAGGACAGCGCTGATTCTCACCTTTGATTCTCACCTTGTACTATAAAGAGACATGCCAAAAGAAGTGTGATATGGGAAAACCGTGATGCTTCTGATGCAAAGAATCAGTCTTGATGCAATTGGTAAATGCATTTAAACAATGTATTCACATACATATAACATACATTACAAAGGATCGCATAAGCATTATATTAGCACAGTGGGAATGGAATGCCATTACACAATCGATATAAATTAGAAGTTTATCAAAAGTATGTCGAATGTTTCACATCAAAACAAAAATTAAATTCTACAAAATATATTAACATCAATGTAGAATACCAACAGTATTCTTATTCCAATGCTACTCATTTGTAATTGGCATTATGCTGCATATGCTCACACAGCAAACACCCCCCCCACCCGACCCCCACTAACGCATGAAACTGCATTTTCACTGGTCCATCAACGCAAATAACAAAAACTTAACACATTCGTAAATGACACTGCCAAAAAAGGAAGAAAGAAAAAAAAAGACATGACCTGAAATTTCCCCTCCTATAATGTTTTATATTTATATATATGTTTCAGACATTTATGTTGTGTATTTTTTTGTCCTTATAGGGAAGTTTTCTTGGTGCGTTATGCCACATCTACGCAGTGAACCAGAACCCGCACCAACCATTGCCCAAGCGTTGTGGTCCTCCATTGCGACGTTCACTTCATTGAACAATCGCTGCTGGATAATATCGGCGTGGAAAGCCAAAAGAACGATGACTTGAAACACTTATGCACTTTTTTACGTGGAGAGACGGAACATAGATCCGTTTACAGTATTTTATTTTATTTTGTCCTATGGTTAACTGAATCAGATATTATTATGAATGTTCACAAATATTTCCAAACCCACAGTCAACTGGTGGCAGTACAGAATATACAAACCTATGACATTTACCAAAATATGTTATGACACCACGACCATGATTAAACATCGGAAAATGCACGATTGCCAGAAAAATACGCGACTTTTACATAATTTTACATGGCATCAACTCTTTAACTCTGTGATCAAAATAATGTACATTCAATGCCATGAACATGTCTATCTCCAAGCTTCTTTACTTATGCGTGGTTATGGGCTAAACTAGGTACGTGTGAGAATGTGATGCAAAATCACTTTATTAATTCCAGTTGCAAATGGTTAAGGGTACAACATTGCTATGACAGAAAAAAATACACCTTTGTTGACTCTCATATATGGAACTAATTCTCAATAACAACTAAAACTAACAAAATCCAGGAGTGTAGGGCTCATCTGCATTTATAAACCCCCGACAATCATTTATGGACCCTGTTCAACCAATACAAAAACATCGCACGTATAAAATCTATTACAAAAAGACAAGATACTATATCCGATACGCTTGCAGCAGCATAACAATTCAGTACACATCCTAACATTTCCAGTGAAATCTGACCTTCAATGTAAATTTCCTTTTGCACGAATTAAGTATGATTTACAGTGTACTATGTTACATCAGTGGTAGCTCGCATTATAATAAGGGTCATTTAATGTGAGGCACTTGGATATATTACATTTATTTTCACATCAACTGCGCGTTCTCATTCGCACCAGGTATTTTTTCTGTGACTCCAAAAAAATCACCTGTGGATATTCAGTGAATATCCTTGCCACGGTTGCACATTCATTTTTTTTTAAAGCCCCATAATGTGGTTCTTACGTGCTTCGTACGGGTAACAGCACTGCGTTCCCGTTTAAATGTAGACGTCACTCAAACGTGGGCTGTACGAGTCACTGTTGTACACAGTGCCATGAACCATATGCACGCATTCCAGTTTCAGTCCAGTACCATTTTGTGATTTGCTTACTGTAAGGTAACATTCGCTTTGCTTCGACGGAATGAACTGTATTCACAATGATTTATAGTTTTCGTGACTGCAGGGATTCATATTCTTGGTTCTTTCGGTAAAGTCACGTAGAAGAGAACCAATAAAATAATAAAAATATAAAACAATAAAATTCTCACGACGTTTCGACTGCAACACAAGCAATCATCATCAGGTGTGAAAACCACACCTGATGATTTTGGTTTTGGTTTTCACACCTGATGATGATTGCTTGTGTTGCAGTCGAAACGTCGTGAGAATTTTATTGTTTTATATTTTTATTATTTTATTGTTTCCCTTCGACGTGACTTTACCGAAAGAACCAATAATATGTATTCACGTTGTTTCGAGCAATTCTATGCACGTCGGTTTATACGTTGAAACTTTTCACGATCTTATAGTTATATAAGCCCTTTTTCGCGTACTTTAATTATGAAAAAAATCTCGCATTAATATTACAACAGACAAATCAGCAATAAGCATTTCTATCATGGCCAGTGGAGTGCGGTATTCTGTTTCTGTTCAAGCTTACACACGAGGACATATTTGGCAAGAATGTTTTTTTTACATGCGGCAGTTAAAATATTGCAACAGTTCAAGATAACATTTGTGGTAATGTAAGCCCTTTTACATATTACAAAAAAAACCGTCGTATAGATCAATACAACAAATAAGTAAGCTGCACTTTTACACACATTCATATTTCACAGGATGTTTTCAAAGACAATTCTAATTAAAGCATGACTCCTTTTCAGAGATGTAACGAATTTATATTTTCTTGACGATAGAGACATCGCACACACGCTCGTTTATTTATTCGTGTCATATTGAGCTTTCGTATGATGACGACTGTATCACCCTGGATTTATCCAGGAAAGCTTAATTTATCCACAAAAGCTTTCAGCAGGATCATGCATTGAGTTGTTTTACCATTTTTATTACTAGAGAGTGCTTTGCGTGTTTTGAGACTAAAGTGATAATGAAAATAAGTGCACGTCATCTCATAAGTGAGTTTTAATTGATTTTGCTTTTTACTATTCATAGAGCGACGTGGCTAAATGCAAGATATTAAGTGTATGTTGTCTGTCCTGTCACAAATGGTACATGGCAAGTTTACTGAGCACATCTTACTATACAGGCAATGGCACAGACCAATCCTCTCCGATGCGTTTTCAGGTTGACAGCATGTTGCTCGGAACAATGTCCGATGTTTCGCTCCAGTGCTGGGAACGTGTTAACTAATTCCACATCAAGGAACTCCGAACACGTGAAGTGGAACGTTAGACATCTAAGCAGGAGCAGCTACGCAGGACAGTTGGCGCAGGACTATCCTGTCATCAGAATCACGTCAGGGTTGACTAGATTTTAATCCTTTCTGTAGATATTTATAATTTTTTTTAAATATATAGTTTATACATTTTATATATATGCATCAGGCACTTTCACAAAGTCAGATGTGTACTCGACAAAGAGTTCTTAAATTTTGATTTAAAGCTTTCGTGACTGCAGTAATTCATATTCTTAGCTCTTTCGGTAAGTCACGTTGAAGGGAAACAAATAATAAAATATATAAAACAATACATTTTATTGTTTAATAAAATATATAGAAAACAATACATTTTATTGTTTTATATATTTTTTATTATTTTATTGTGTCCCTTCAACGTGACTTTACCGAAAGAGCTAAGAATATAAAGAGTTCTTAGGTAATCGTTAAAAGTAACCACATTAATGATCACATAATCATTTAGGTTTTTATATATTATTTTTTATATCTATATTTTATATAAAAAAAACGTCAACAGTAGCAATCATTCCTTCATGAGTGTCTACATTTGTTTTGGGAAACACGAAAACTATGCCATTTAAATTCACGGCAACGCACTCTTTCGGAAACATTGGCACTCGTTGGGCCGCTGAGGGATACGTGGAAACGCAAACATCGCTCAGTCAAAAAGTGCCACGTGCCTTGGCTCACGGGCAGAAAATTGCATTCAGTTGGGGCGGATCCCTTCACAATTTTAAGTTTAAATTTAATGGATTTCCAACGCAATTAGCAACTCAACATAAAACCACCGCAAGCGAACCGAGGAAGTGCAAGGCCACAGACTGGTGCTGGTCATCTTGAGGATTGTCATGAGCTCCAGCCCACGTTGAGTCAGGGCGACGAGAATGAATTGATTCCGAGCAGCAGGCAAGGATCGCTCTCTCTGGGACCAAAAATTGCGTACGCGATCACAGTCGTGAAGTTTGTCACGTGCTTCTCCCTGAATGCATCCCTGGGTTAGTGAATCCTCCAGCTGGGCTGGATTCTGACCTCTGACTCGTTGAGGGTTCTCTGCCGGGCCCAGTGCTCCAGGCACTCCAACACCAGTGGGTAGCGCTGCATCTCGAATTTGTTGGCGAACAGATCGCTTCTCTTGGTCAGCCACTCCAGGTCACCCTCTCCGTACACACATATGTCCCGCACATAGTGCCCTGAAACGAAAGCACGCGTGTTCGGACATGCGCTGAATATTAACACGAGAAAATCTAATTGGTTTCGTGTGAAAATGTGTTTTAATTTCTCACCTTATTGGTGGTAGTTTTCACAAAACCTCTTATGTGTAAAAGTGAACTAACGCCTGAGCTTTTTACGAATGCTGATCCCAATAATCGGCTATGGCCAAGTTACATGAGATAAATTATAATTTTGGGGGACATTTTTTTTTGCATTCTGAAGTCCAACCTTATGCTGTATGTGAGTAGCTCTACAATTGTTATGAAAGCTCGATAAATATAGATAATGGCAAGCACATAACATATGCCAATTATGTAGCAATTATATGATTAAAGCCGATGTGTGATTCACTATTACATTTTCATCATGGTAACCCATATCCCATATCTAAAATTACTAGTATATCGAGTCTTGCTTTATTTTCCTCAGTTATACATCTCCACAGTCCAGGAGCTGTCCCTTTATGATACATGCGAAAGGGCTGTGTTTATACCTCTACAAGTGTAACGTTTTGAACTTCCTCCTGGCCACCTGAAATATGGTTTGTTTCCTGGGATGCGTCATGCTTTTTTTCCAGAGAGATCCACATACAATTCCTCCACTCGTATGTTGCTATCTCTATCATGGGTTATGGGTCCATCTTTCTCCTCAAGGGAGAACATTTGCGAGTTTGCCAATCATCAAACTCCTTTTTGCCACCTTTGCTTGCTATGATATACAGTAATCGATCATTGTTGCATTGTGTTCCCTCCAATTCCTCTCTTCATTGGTTTTCTACTTGTTTCACGAGAGTTCTGTCACATTCAATCTATTCGGCTCGAGGCAAATGTGAACAAACATAAGTCGTAGACTTCTACAAGTTCGCTAAATAATTGACGATATCGGATTTGAGAGACACGAGTGGAAAACAAATCGGAGTTTGTCCTGTACATCTAGGACGGTAATTTAAATTGGATCAGCATGAATTTTATGATGGAAAAAAGAGCAGGTTGAACTGCTTTTGTAAATCTGAACTCAATTCTGAAAAAGAAAACACAGAATATCGAATCGATTCGAATACAATTCATATGAACATTATCTAGATATGCATGTTGAACTTTTGCACCGTGCGTAGCCAACCGTGCTAATCGGAAGTGCGTGGGGAGGACAACAGACTAAACACAAAAAGCAGTTCTCAATAAATGAGTTTTCAATCTAGATTTAAAATCGCGTAGCTCCAGTGGCTCCCTAGTATCAGAAGAGTGTCCCAGACCGCCGCGGAAGCGCAACTGAAAGCGCGCGACGCGGTGACCGTCTTTGTTCGATGGCCAGCCAAAAGCCGCTGCTGTGAGGATGACGGAAGCTCACGTGATGGTTTATGCCCCTTGACGAGATCAACAAGGTGTTGTGGTTCATTTAATATGGCACACGCCCAGTGTGTCTGCAGCAACAAGATGCATATTTCGGTATCGCATTGGCCGATCCAAACCACGATGACAACAACAACAACAAGCCAGCGTTCCAGAGCCATTGCAAAGAGACAGACCCCCTTCCCCCCCAAGCCACCACGGCGTCACCATAACCTCACCTTTGCACCCTTTATGAGTTTTTTCACCGTCCCGCCACTTGACGGCACGAGTGTTGCCCTCCCAGCTAGGGACCGTGTTGGCTCCGGGTGCATCTGCAAGATGGAAAAAGGTTTCGAGCAAGTCAGATGAACTAATTGTTGGTGATCCCGTTAGCACCACGACACGGCGGTATACTTGGACATCAAAGCAGTGCCAGATTCGGTTTTATGCGAGCCTGGGGTTGTCATGTTAGAGTTTCCCCCTTGCCATTTTTAACACTACCCCATGCCCGTTGCAAAACACCCCGCCATTATTATTATTATAACTTACCTTTGTTATTCTTTTAATGTAACACGCGATTCGTGACGCAAGATCAGTTGAAACGAACACAACTACGGTGCATTTAATTCTGGCACGTAACTTAAGTAGCAAAACACACACTGCAGTGATGCTATAGCTTCAAGTTCCACATCGCCTCTTGGATGCATCAAGAGTGTTATGGTTCTGCATTTCAATCATGATGAAGTAAGACAGTGTGTGTATGTACTGTATGTATGGCTACAGCCACTTAAAGCCCCTGCGATAATCTGGCCCTAACCAAGACGGGAACACCCGTGAGAGTAAGAATGCATGTATGTTGACCTTTCGCACCGTACGTAGCCAACTGTGCTAAATCGGAGGTGTGGGTAAGGGTAATAAACTATATACTATGTATGCAATCTGTGTGTGTTGGTACCTGGCAGGCTGTTGAGCGTCACAAAGTAGTGCTCATCGGGGCTGAATGTCTCCTGAGACCACTCCAGCAGGTCCTGCGCTTTCTTGTCATCGAGCACATACTGCACAAATTCTCTGGTCACTGCGTAGTACGCCGTTCCGAAACACAGATTTATGCCGTGCGGTGGGGGGCCTTTGGCAACATTGGTTCTAATCATCTGTTTCTTGTCCTTGTCTACGACCTCCTTGTACACGTACTGGGTCCTCCACTTCATATGAGGGGGTTGAAAGATGCCCGGAGTGATGTTCTTCCCTCTCCACTTGTTCTTTAAGATCCGCACTATCTCCTGGTTGGTTCTCAGCGGGAAATCCTGACCGCACAGGTTCAGGACGTACTTCCAGGGAGTCGGTCTGGTCGCCAGGTCCCGCATGCAATTGATGTCGGCTTTCAAGCGCGAAAAACCAGCGTAAACGACCGTCTCGGACCTGGAGGCCAAGAAGACATTGTCGAAGCATCCTGCCAGTCTCTGCATGGACTTTTTGAAGCTCTCCGAGGACTTCACATCCACGTGGATGCAGTAAATATTCTGTGGCATGTAAATGTTACGAAATAGAATGGAGAATGTCTCAAAGTCTTTGTGAACAGTGATGATGTACGCCAGTGGGAAATCCTGTTCTTCTTTGGACAGTGCCTCCGTGATGTAGCTCTGCTTCTCAATGAAAGCACTGCAATTGACGTTCTCCTCAATGGCCATGGTGGGCCTTTGGATCTCCTTGCAATGGGCCCTTAGGTCGCCCGTGAGGGTCTGTCCCTCCATCAATGCCAAGCACATCTCATCTGAGAAAATGCGGCATCTGACCACTTTGGGGCTTGGGAACAGAAACTCGGAGATGTTGTTGCCTTTGCTCTGCATGTAGATGCAGCTGAAGATAACGAGACTTGTCATCGTGCAATACAGCAGCAGCAGACGCAGGGAATTGTCTGATGCCATGGCCAGTGTGTGGTGTGTGACTGAGATGTATCGCCAAGTTATCTGTGCTTGAAGGCTTTAGTACTTGCTTTGGTGCAAAACGCTGTCTCGATACAGGTAGCAACGTTTGGCAATTCTTTTGGCATGCAGTAAATCTCCCTTCACAATTTGTAATTTCCATTCCCAGTGCACTGAACATCTGTTGGCTTCTGCATGCATATTAAAACATGGCAAAGAAGATCCAACACTCAATTCCGGGTAGAAGGTAGCTTCCATTGAAGCATGTTAACGTGTAATGTCTTCTGTATCATTTTTTCTTGTTTGCTTTCGAACGGATGGTATTATTTATATTTCCTAAAACAAGATGTAAAACGCATATTAGCAATACAGTTAATGCCATGGTTCATAAAAAAAAACAAGTTGCTAACCAGCATTTGACTCCTCTCCTTGATATTTCAGATAAGTACCTTGGCTTTTTTTACGTGTTATTTCAGAAAAAAATATATATTTTTTACTCGATTAAAAGTGGATGTCGTGATACTCATCAAGAGCAAGTAGGACGCAGAGGCACAATGCAATCACAGGAGTTCTATGTCCCGCCTAAAAGAGTAAATAAATGAATAATTTGTCTACATTTTGTAAGGGCAAATTAGCATTTCAATGTCTTTCATAAACTACTGCCAGAAATGTCGTAAGAGCACGTGCAACTCATTATGTTTGAATGAGTCAAACATGTACAGTACGTTCTAGTAGAGTCAACTTGTAGAAATTATCCAGGGTAATAGGGGGGACGAGTGGTCCGGGTTAAAACAAGACCGCCGATGATGTGAAATATTTCTAAATCAGGATGTAACGCATGCATAGAATGGGAGTGAAGACGTGGAATGATGTATCGTTTCTTAAAGTAATCGGTAACTTGCGTCACGAGTGAGGAGCGGCTCGTGTTAGAAGTCAGAGGCGCAAATGAGTACGAAACACCCTTCCTTATATTTAGATTCCATTGTCCTCAAGCACAGTCATTCTTCACAACCCAGTTCATCTGCTTACAAGTAACTGAGGTTTAACTGTATATTAATTATGTAAGAAGAATTGTGCATTTGCAAGTTTTCAATAAAATATATATATACATGACTGAAACCCATTTAGCAGCGTGGATAATATACGCAGACATCATAAGCGGTAATGAGGCCTTGGTAGAAAAAGGGATAAAAACTACCCGCATTTGAAAATGATGATGTTAAGTACTCAATCTTGAGGGAGTAGGACCAGCACAGTCGCGTGCAGGCATTAACCATCAGGTTCAATGAAGATAGATTTATCTAAGGGGCCGTCCATAAATGACGGCACGCGATTTTGGACGATTTTTGACCCCCCCCCCTCTCGTCACGACGTCACAAAAAGTCAGACCGCTCCCTCAAATTTGACGTCACAAAGCTCTGCCCCCCCCCTTCTCCCTCAAAAAATAAAACATGCTTCAAATCGATACTCTTTGGTTCTATTGGGTAAAGTCGCGTAGGTGAAAATAAAATAACAAAAAATCACGACGTTTCGGCCACAACACAAGCGGCCTTCATCAGGTGAAGGGACCAGCCTGTCTGGAGGACAGCGCTGGAGTGGAAGAAGCCACGCTTAGATCACGACCTTTAAGCTTGTGATCGCGGAATCTTTTGAGGAAGGTCAGCGTCTCGATGAGCTGTGACTTCTTGTCCCGTTGTCTGTTAAAAGCTCTAACAGATAGGTGAAAGGCCTCCCCATAGAGGTTATCAATTCTAGATTTAAAGCTTTCGTGACTGCTAGGATCCATACCTACGTGACTTTACCCAATATAACCAAAGAGTATGGATCCTAGCAGTCACGAAAGCTTTAAATCTAGGAATGCTTCAAATCGCTTTAAACTATTGTTACTGTAGTGCGTATTTAATATTTAATGTGGCGCTGCTGCACTCTGATGTTGTAGGAGAAAACATTTATTAAAAAAGTTTATTTAATGAAGTAGAACGCGTTGACTATATTTATTTAAAGTTGCGCATTTTGATGTGACGTCACATTTCTCACGCCCTCCCCCCCCCCTCGTCACACATCGTCACAAATGTCTGACCCTCCCACCCCCCCTAGGTGCGTGACGTCATTTATGGACGGCCCCTAAAAGTAAAAGTACCGTTGCTTTGTATCTTAACAGCAACAACAACAACCTACTTGCAGGTCAATAAACGTCACACGAAAGTGGAAAATATTTATTGACCGTTGGCCTTTTCCTGTTGGCATGAGCAATTCCTCTCTCTCTCTCAGCAATTACCTCTTGATGCCTCTCTCTCTCTCAGCAATTGCCTCTTGATGCCTCCCTCTCTCTCTCTCAGCAATTGCTGAGAGAGAGAGAGGGAGGCATCAAGAGGATTAAAAATGCTCTCGACTCTAGAGCCTCCTCTGTACAATGTGTACAACTTACACAGCCACAGGGAATTCTCTGACTGTGGATGCACCCCCCCCCCTAGCGACGAGAAACGTGGGAGTTCACTGACAATGTACACGCTGATACTGTGCCACTGAAGCTCAAAGCGCGATATTTTTCAAATGGTTGCGATGTTTCAGGAGTGACTGGGGCCATTCAAGAGCTGCTTGCTCGTACCATATCTGTTACAGGAAACTCCCAGCAGGAAATAAGGACTACACTCTCATGCAGCAATGCATATGCGCACTGGAGCAATGTGATAGTATGTAAGGCACAGTGGGCCTATTAACTGGACGGAATGTTCTGTTCTTTTGTTTTATTATAGTCTTACTGATTAACAGAACATAGCGACTCGTTATATGCGCTGGCAATGTTGAGTTTGCTTTAATTTGATGATCCGAAATTTTCTCAAAAAAATATTATGAACGTGTCCCGGTAATTTTACTTTTCTAATACCAAAGGACAATTTACATTTATAGATAATTTTAAACGCAACCCCAAACTAATTGTCTGGAGCATAATGGCCAAAAATGAGTTAATGTTTGAAATGAAGCATCAAGCCATACGCCCAGTAATTTTTCCATTTGCCGTGTTTGCAAATTACTATTTTCATTTGAGGCTAATTATTATTACATTTTACAATTATTCACTCTTGTCGAATTATATAATCCAACCCACCCTACGCAGGACAGTAATGATTATCGGCGTTTAAAGCGCTGACAAGAGCACTCACTCAAGTGAGAAACCAGCAGAGTTCAGTTTAACACCGTCGGCTTTCGCAACCAATATCCATAATACAGGTTTGTGTTGGGTTACATCGCGTAAATATATACATGTGTCGTTAAACCCATCAACACCCTGATGAAGCTGGTTGTAATTACTGGCGAAACGTCGTACTCAGACTGTCAATGTTTTGGCTTGGCTCTCCAACACGCCGGCGTGCTGTACTAGTACACTACACTATACACTACACTATACACTACACTATACACTACTATACACTACACTATACACAACACTACTATATACTACACTATACAATACACTATACACTACACTATACACTACACTATACACTACACTATACACTACTATACACTACACTATACACTACTATATACTACACTATACACTACACTATACACTACTATACACTACACTATACACTACTATACACTACACTATACACTACACTATACATTACTATACACTACACTATACACTACACTACTATATACTACACTATACACTACACTATACACTACACTATACACTACTATACACTACACTATACACTACACACTAGTGCTGTACTAGTATACTACACTATACACTACACTACTATACACTACACTACACACTACTATACACTACACTATACACTACTATACACTACACACCGGCATGCTGTACTAGTACACTACACTATACACTACTATACACTACACTATACACTACTATACACTACACTATACACTGCTATACACAACACACCGGCGTGCTGTACTAGTACACTACACTATACACTACACTACTATACACTACACTATACACTACTATACACTACACACCGGCGTGCTGTACTAGTACACTATACTATACACTACACTACTATACACTACTATACACTAGTGCTGTACTAGTACACTACACTGTACACTACACTACTATACACTACACACCGGCGTGCTGTACTAGTACACTACACTATACACTACACTACTATACACTACACACCGGCGTGCTGTACTAGTACACTACACTATACACTACACTACTATACACTACACACTAGTGCTGTACTAGTATACTACACTATACACTACACTACTATACACTACACACCGGCGTGCTGTACTAGTACACTACACTATTATACACTACACACCGGCGTGCTGTACTAGTACACTACACTATACACTACACTACTATACACTACTATACACTAGTGCTGTACTAGAATACTACACTATACACTACACTACTATACACTACACACCGGCGTGCTGTACTAGTACACTACACTATACACTACACTACTATACACTACACACTAGTGCTGTACTAGTATACTACACTATGCACTACACTACTATACACTACACACTGGCGTGCTGTACTAGTATACTACACTATACACTACACTACTATACACTACACACTAGTGCTGTACTAGTGACGAATTGTCACGTTCTGTTTACGTGACAACCCTTACTAGTTGTCTGTGTCGGGTGGTGGCGGGTTTAACGACACAACATCTATATATTTACGCTATCTAAGCCCCCCCAAAAAAGCTGTATTACAGCAGAGGTCTGTTTCCACCTCCGGCTAACAGCAGTTGCTGAGTGGGTAGGCACCCCTTAACGACTTCGTAATCGGCGTAAAAAATAAAAGCCCCTACGGTCGACACAGCAGGGATTGCAACAGAACTGTAAAGTATATGCAGTCCATGACAGAGGTGTTTGAGTTAGTGCGCGTGGATGTAAATGTGTCGTTAAACCCGCCACCACCCGACACAGCCAATTAGTAAGGTTGTCACGTCAACAGTACGTGCAAATTCGTCACTAGCACAGCACACCGGTAAGTAAACCCACAACATTTACAATTCGAGTACGACGTTTCGCCAGTCATTAACAACAAAAAAAACTCTTATGGATAATATTGTTAAACCAAATTGCATACAGTATATTAGTAATTGTATTGATAGATGCTTGGTGTTTTTGAAATTGCTTTATTAAATTTTATTATTTGCGGCTTGCCTACGCATATATTTGCATTATTCACTACTGCCAACATATCTTTCAGGAGGCGTTAGGTAGCATTTAAACGAAGAGCGTTGTCCAATAAGCTCTGCCACTTCACAAGTCGTTTATTTTCTCTTTTAAAGTAGACATTGACAGCGCCGTCTAACCACGAACACACACGCACGTACGCTATTATCACACGGTGGAAACATCTGCTATGAGCTGGATATTAGCAACACCGGTTGCTATGGGATTACTCGGCAAACTGTGCGCGCGTTTCTCGGATTATTATAATTCCAAATCGTAGACTCCCGACGACAACGACAACAACAAAAAACCTTGGCCAACAAACCATAGCGACCTCCCTGCGCAGCACGCCCACGAGCAAAAAGCCACACGCGCTCCATCATCACCAACAACATCACGCACGGCGAAGCACACGCCGCACCTGGTGAGAGCGAGACAGAGGGGCAGGAGAGGGCAGCGGTGTTGAGCACGGGAAGACGCGAGCGACCATCCTCACCTGTGCGGCTCGGGGTCAACGTGTTCGAAGGTCGTGCGCTGTGGATGTGAGTTGGGGAGGTGGGCGGAGGGGAGGGCTTTCTGGGGTTGTTTTTTTTTACACGCTTTTATGGGTGGAGGGTTCCCCTCCTGGAAAAGCAACCGGCTGCAGATTGTCGAAAGGTCCGCATAAGAGTGGGTTAAATATTGCTGCGCTCTGCGGGCTGCTGTTATCGGTACTCACCACTGATTCGCTCCCACTTACTACGGGGGCGTCCCCCTTACTGCTTTGCCCCTCTCTGCCTTCTTTTTTTTTGGGGGGGGCGGGAGGAGGAGGAGGGATAATAAGTAAATAAATAACGGTGGGAATGTGCCCGCCGTGTTGCGTGTTCGCTAAATGGAGAAGCCCTAAACAAAAATAATTACTGTTGAATTTAATATTTTCGGCTTTAAATTATGTCATACGTTGGCGGTTATAACCCGGCAGACAAAACGTGCCTGTTCGGTACATTTATATATGTAGGAAGGAAGAAAAAAACACGTGCCAAAAATTATAATATGTAATAAAGAAATTACATACTGTATTTCAAAATAGAAAATTGATTAAAAATGTGGGCTTTTATAAATGCTCAATTTTTTGAGCGTTGTAATAATAATTACGGGTCACTCAGAATGCTTTTCGTTACTTTTTTCGTGTAATCTCAGTGCAGCTTTTCCATTTTTCATCAATCGTTTTAATTATTCCCAAATACTGTATAGTTTTTATTTAGGTATTCGTCTCGCATCAATTTTCAATCAATACAATATTTTGAATACCGTAGTCTAAAAGTACTGAGCACAGTGATATTTTATATGTATTACAGGTAGTCCCCGACTTACAATGGTCCGACTTACGATATTTTCGACTTACGATGGGGTCGTCGTAATGCATCTCCATCGTAAGTCGGGGACTACCTGTATAGTCTTTTTCCAGAATTTGACCGATAACGCTGAGCGTATCCAGTGGTACTGAACAGTTTTCACCTTGCTCATGTGCTTTGTTTGCCTCTACATTCTATATTATTTTGTTCCCGTAAAAAATATAAATATACAGAATGTCCAATCAGAGGCTAATGGGTTTGTATTTGGTTGAGTCGGTTTTATCGCCAATTTTGAACAGAAGAATATTGATGTAGTTCACTTACGTGCAAACATGTCGTAAATGTGTAAGTCACCTGATTTTGTCCCAACAATTGATGATATCCACAGTTTACACCATCTTAATCCAGCACTTACCATTAAACCATTAAGCAGCGTTAACCAATCCCAAATTTGCTCATGACAGTGTGACAACCAGTGAGAGTGAACTATAGGAAATTAAATTTCGATTTAAAGCTTTCGTGACTGCAAGGATTCATCTTCTTTGGTTCTTTCGGTAAAGTCACGTAAAATGAGAATAAAATAATAAATTAATAAAATAAAATAACACAATAAAATTCTCACGACGTTTCGGCCACAACACAAGTGGCCTTCATCAGGTGAAGGGACGAGACTGTCTAGAGGACAGCGCTGGAGCGAACACAGCCAAGCTCAGACCGCGACCTTTAAGCTGTGTGAGAAGAAACAGAGCGCCTTGACAAAGGAATTAGCATAAAAATTAGCATTTAATTGTTAAAGTCAAAGCCTACACATCCACAGAGGCACCTAGTACAAATCAAACAGGAGAATTTAGCATTGAAATAACTGAGGGATTAGCTATAGGAAATTATTGAAGAATTGAATGACGGAGTCTACAAAATGGGGCTCAAATGCAAATGATGATGAAAATAATAAAAATTGTAGTTCAAGATTCCCTCGACAATTAAAGATATCTGCTGGAGGGACTACACTGGAACATCCATCAGATTTTCTACACCGGTTATTCAATGTGGACCGGGATCAGGGTGTTAAAAAGCAGGCGAGCGGAAGTTGGGGTGCTTTTGGCAAACTGAAATCAACAATGAAAAGCGACGTACCAGTGTCCCTGAAGAATAACCATCAACAAACTATATCGGTGTGTATTACCTGCGAGTGAAATATGGACATTAACACAAAGAACGGACGGAGCAAGCGGCTTGCACGTGTGCAACAACAACAAAAAAGAAAGCCCCCTGGAGAAACGCATATTTGGGATTACACCTCGTGACAGGAAGAGGCGACAGACGGATCAGAGAATATCTGCAAGATATCGAATTGACTGTTAGGGAAATGTTCCCTCGGTTTAGCCAGGGACGCTTCACTACAAGGGACGATGGCCGGTCGCTGAGACCAATGGGAGAAAGTGGCATCCGAAGGAGAGCTCACACCAAAGAGAACGATTCGGCAAGGTTGGCTGTCACATACGGTGCGAAATGAGTTCGCCACGCATACGAAGACGAGAGACGCAGCCATGAGATCACCAAGACGTGAGATTAAACAAATAAATAGCCTCTATTTTATAAAGCGCTTTACATATCGAAGTATCTCAGAGCGCTTAGATATGGCGACGACTTAAGGAGGTCTACATCCAGAAGTTGATGATATAAACGTTTCGGTCTATATATCTGTGTAGACTGCAGTACTGTGCATTTATCTTGGAGTGGTGATACTGTGCTTAGTACAGAGTACTTTAAACCCAGTTGATCCGAGTTGAATTCCCAGCCATGCCTAACATCATTGGCAAGTGATCCGTGAATCGGCCCTGGGCATCCATTTTACATCCACTGCTGGATGAGTGCCTCCCCATACCACGTGGGTGGCGGAAAATATTTGCCCATACTTCACTACGCTGGTCAGTGCGCGATTAGCATGGTTGGCTACGTAGGGTGCAATAGAAGTTCAACATACACACACACACGGGAGCATAGACGTAGGAGCATAGCAGTACAAAAGTGGATTTTAGCACGTAACCCTCTCTTGTACACCCGTTCAAGATCCCTTCAGCAGGTGACTACGGTTGAAGGGATCTCAGAACTAGTTCTGTGATATCTCCCTCCCGATCCCATTTTCAACAAGGGGTGCGCACCTGCTCTGCGACAGTGGATTTTTAATCCCGCGGCAGGGGTGGTGATGTGGCCTAGAGGTGGGGTACATTCATCACTTGTAGCAGAGGTTCACGGTTTAGCCCAGGGTCACTCCCAGGGTCACTCTGGCATATGTGACGTATGACGGTCTCTTGAATTCTCACCTCGTTAAACAAACGACACTTGCAATCCACGTACAACATGGCAACAACGGGATGAAATTGTGGATGAGTGGAGAATTATGTCACTGGTGACGATGTGACCGTGCTAATGACTTGAAGCTTTCGTGACTGCAGGAATCCATTCTCTTTGGTTCTTTCGGTAAAATCACGTGGGTAGAAACAATAATACAACACGACGTGTCGAGCGCTACGCAAGCGACCGTCTTCTCTCACCTGAAGACGGCCGCTTGCGTTGCGACCGAAACGTCGTGACATATTATTTTGTCTACCTACGTTAACTTCACCGAAAGAAGAAAAAGAGGATGTCCTAATGACTTTCTGTGGACTTTCATCGGCACACATTCAAACAAAAAAAAAAGACATCAGCTCTGCGCCACGTGACATTTCATTGATTCGGAGCATGGAAACAGACGGCTGCCAAAAAAGTAAAAAGGATTTCACAGCCAAGTCAAGCTGTGACAAAATACACGGCAACGTTCTAAAGGACTGTACGTCGATAACGCACGAGAGTTCGTGACAACTCCAGTTCAACGCCGGGTCAGTTTAAACACTCCGCGGTGATCGGGGCCGGCCATAAATGACGTCACGCGATTGTGGACGTTTTTTGACCCCCCCCCCCACCTCGTCACACGGCGTCACAAAAAGTTAGACCCCCCCTCTCCTCGAATATGACGTCACAAAGCTCTGCCCCCCCCCCTCCCCACAAAAAAATAAAACATGCTTCAAATCGCTTTAAACTATTGTCATTGTAGTGCGTATTTAATATTTAATGTGGCGCTGCTGCACTCTGATGTTGTAGGAGAAAACATTTATTTAAAAAAAGTATATTTAATTAAGTAGAACGTGTTGTCTAATTTATTTAAAGTTGCGCATTTTGATGTGACGTCACATTTCTCAAATCCCCCCCCCCTCGTCACACATCGTCACAAATGTCTGACCCCCCCCTCCCCCCTAGGTGCGTGACGTCATTTATGGACGGCCCCATATTGCGTCATATCGGTGTCAAATAAAATGACAAGAGCGTCTCGCCGACGCGGTCCCAGATGATTTCGCCCGAATTTCTTGTCGCCCGTTTCGCCGTCTCTCCTCACCGCGCTTGGCCTGCTTCTCACCTGGGGGGAGGGAGGGGGGGGAGTCTTCTCTCTCCGCCTTCGCTTTGTCTTCTGTGCTTCGCTCAGGTCACCACCCCCTCTAAACCACCACCATGCAGCCCTGTCGCGTGAGTTTGTCAGATCACAGCCACCCGACCAGAGCCGTTCAAAATCTTTTTGGGTAGGGGGGAGCCGACTGGAGGCCCCCCCCCCTCCCTCCGCCTATGGTCGGCGGTTTTTTTTTCAATAAAAAAAATCATAGACAGTTGATGTGGACATTCTTACATTCTCAAGCGTTTTTGGGGCGCCTTTTTATTATTCAATAAAGGTGCTAAGTCATCTGTTCCTATTTAAGTTGGTATGACATTTTGGTTTAAAGCTTTCGTGACTGCAGGGATTCATAAGCTTGGTTCTTTCGGTAAAGTCACGTAGAAGGGAAACAATAAAATAATAATTAATCGCAGTAACAGTTTTATTTCCGATGGTCTGAAATCCGTTTTAGCTAAAGAGCTAAACTTTGCAGTCACACCTAAACACATACCAGTTAATGATATCATTGCCCAAGTAGACGTGGCTCTCAAGGGCCTGGGTCACATCGCTGCAGACGTAGCAAGATCTGAAATCGCTGCAACCCTCAAAAACGCTAAGCTGCCAGCTAGCAACCTCAGCAAAGATGAGCGTTTTGAATTATATAAATTAAAAAAGAGGGATGACATTCATAATAAAGGTTCTTGGGTTAGATCGCGTTTATTTATAAATGTGTTGTAACCCTCCACCACCCGACACGGCCAATCAGCATTATTATTCAATAAAGGTGCTTTATTGAATAATAATCGGGCAATTCGCCATTCTGGCGAATTGCCCGATGATGCTGGAAGTATTTACCAGCGAAACGTCGTACTCAAACTGTAAATGTGGATTAACTCTTCAACACACCGGTGG